TTCCGATCTCCCCCAATTGCCCCCTATCTCCCCAATTAATTACCCCACACCCCCAAAGTCCCCAATTAATTAAGCCCCCGCCCACCGAGGGTGATCTCCACGCAGAGGGCGTCGTCCTCGGGGTCGTAGGGGCGGGGCAGGAGGAGGCGGAGCCGGAAGGGCTGCCCCCGCCGCAGGACCACTCGGGGGGCGGCGAACTCGCCCGTGTGGTGGGCCACCCGGTCCCCCGGCGAGCCCACCACCATCCCCCGGGGGGCCAGGAGACCTGGGGGGGGGGCAGGGGGTGAAAACCCCGTCTCGATACCACCCCCGGAACCCCCAAAACGGCCCAAAACGAGAAAAAAGAGGGGATCGGGGGGCCTTGAAACCGTCTTTTTCCCCTTTAAAGCTCAGAAATGGCTTAAAATGGCACCAAAAAGGGCAGTTTTGGAACCAAAATGTGTCCCCCCCACCCCATACTGGGGGGTTTTCCCCTCTACGGCCTAGAAATGGCTTAAAATGGGATGGTTTGGCACCAAAAAGGGCAGGTTTGGAACCAAAATGTGCCCCCCCCAACACGTGTTGGGGGGGTGGGGAAAGGGGGGACCCCAAAACCCCTGGATTTTGCTGAAAAACCCTAAGAAGTGGCTCTGGGGGGGCCTTGAAACCGTCTTTTTCCCCTCTACGGCCTAGAAATGGCTTAAAATGGGATGGTTTGGCACCAAAAAGGGCAGTTCTGGCACCAAAATGTGCCATTCCCACCCCATATTGGGGGGTTGGGAAAAGGGGGGACCCCAAAAAGCTTGGATTTCCCCAAAAAACCCTGATAAGTGGCTCTGGGGGGGCCTTGAAACCGTCTTTTTCCCCTCTGAAGCTTAGAAATGGCTTAAAATGGGATGGTTTGGCACCAAAAAGGGCAGTTTTGGAACCAAAATGTGTCCCCCCCACCCCATACTGGGGGCGTGAGGAAAGAGGGGACCTCGAAACCCCTAGATTTCCACAAAAAACCCTGATAAGTGGCTCTGGGGGGGCCTTGAAACCATCTTTTTCCCCTCTGAAGCCTAGAAGTGGCTTAAAATGGGATGTTTTGGCACCAAAAAGGGGAATTTTGGCACCAAAATGTGCCCTTTCTTCTCCCGGGGAGCCCCGAAACCGCCCTTTTTCTTAATGGGGAGCCCCAAAACCACCCTTTTTCTTAATGGGGAGCCCCAAAACTGCCCTTTTTCTTAATGGGGAGCCCTGAAACCACCCTTTTTCTTAATGGGGAGCCCCAAAACCACCCTTTCTCCTCCCGGGAAGCCCCAAAACCGCCGTTTTTCCTAATGGGGAGCCCCGAAACCGCCATTTCTCCTCCCGGGGAGCCCCAAAACCACCATTTCTCCTCCTGGGGAGCCCCAAAACCGCCCTTTTTCTTAATGGGGAGCCCCGAAACCGCCTTTTCTCCTCCGGGGGAGCCCCGAAACTGCCCTTTTTCCTCCCGGGGAGCCCCGAAACCGCCTTTTTTCTTAATGGGGAGCCCTGAAACTGCCCTTTCTCCTCCCGGGGAGCCCCAAAACTGCCCTTTTTCTTAATGGGGAGCCCCAAAACCGCCCTTTCTCCTCTCAGGGAGCCCCGAGACTGCCTTTTTTCTTAATGGGGAGCCCCGAAACTGCCTTTTCTCCTCCCGGGGAGCC